GACAAGCTGAGGGGTTACTGAGCGAGTGTTTTGCGCTCTGTAAAGGGTAGGTAAGGGTAGAGGAAAGAGGAAATGGGTAAAAGGTTTGAACGGAGTAAAGACAAGGGATTATGATGAAGCGAAGGAAGAGATGCTCAAATATTTTGGCTCACCTCATGAGCGCCCCCGATACACGATGAACGACCTACTAACACTTGTCAGTAAACAGGCTGGTACGCCACTCGAAAACGCACATGATCTCAATCTGCGCTGCATCAAGTTCGACGTGATTGCCAACCACCTCCTGGCAAACCAGAGGGTGACAGAAGAATTCCTAGATCGCCAGTTTTTCCTTTCGATACCCGAAGAATGGAGGGACCCAGCACAACTCCAGCTGAAATCCCGAAACCCCAAATACGACACGCGGAACAAGGCTTTCTCCCGGGCAGCCACTAAGGCCACGGTCAGTGAACTCCTTACGCCAGACTGGTACAAGCCACAAGCAGTGGGCGATGCACGCACTGTGAAGGAGAGATTAGCCACCAGTAAATCTGAGGTAAGGGGAAAAGATACTGACTCATCGGGTGTCATGGAGATTATCGAACGTCTTGGTAGTCTCGATATTTCTAGTGACGCCTACGCACGCACATATGCGGCCCTCACTGCCACGAATCCTAGCGCCGCACGAATAATAGCGCCACCGCAACCGAAATATGTCCATCGCCCTCCTACACCAGGAGCGAGTGGAGGGGAGATCCACAGACCTGTAGCGTCGACAGCCACTGCAGCAGATGTGACAACCCGATCGACGGATTGTTATTACTGCGGTAAGGATTCCTGTCAATTTCGCACTTGCCCCGAGCGAGCGGCAGACACAGCTGCAGGGTGGATCCGCCAAGAAGGTAAAATGGTAGTATTCAAAGACGGGTCGAAGTTGCGTCGAGGAAATAGAGGTTTGCGGGAGGACGTAGTAGCACGCCTCCAAGTCGAGCAAGGGCGAGCACACCTAGAGGAAGGAAGAGCTCCCCCGACAGCAGACCCTATGAGCGCATATGTGATCCAAGTTGATCTGTTGCAAGAAAATGCAGGTGCGTACGCTTGGCAGTCGAATGAGGAAGACGAAGAAGAAGGGGTTGAAGGCAACGACGAAGATGAAGAAGTCAAGGAGTTGGCGATGACGTTGATAATGTCAGGCCTTGATGAATCTTCAGCCTGGAATGCGGCATTGATTGCAACCCTCGAGCGAGGTAGTCGAAGCAAGACGAGAGGGGCGAGAGAAGCCGCATCTCCCTATAATCAGAATACCAGGCCGACACGCCCAGCCAATCAGCGTCAAGTCAAGTTCCAACCAAAAGCAAACAACATACCAATTCCCAGTGTAGGGCCCACTCCGACAACGGCATCACCAGCACCAGCACGTGCAACCTCGAGGCCATCTGAGACCAACCGCGCTCCAAGACCACCAGCTGTACCTGAAATCCAAATGGAGGTCGAAGAGACACGGCCAGAAGCCAAGAGGACTGGCCCACTGTATCGCTATGTATCCGAGGCTGAAGAGAATGCCAATGCTTCGGTGATCATGGCGAAGATTTTGAAGATGCCGCTGCCACAGAATCTCACACTGGGAGACCTGTGCGGTGTGGCTCCTTCGATACGGAAATCCTTCACGGACCTATGCAGGGCTAAGCGAGTCTCATTGGAACCCAACAGGAAACCTACCGATACCACTGACAAAGTCGTTTCAGCACCACTGGTGATGAACAGGGAGCCGGCATACTCGAAGCCACTACCCAAGATCCGGTTCACCCTTAATGGGATGATGGAGACGGCACTGTTGGACACCGGATCCCAGGTGAACCTCTTCACAGAGGACTTTGTCCAGCGTGCTGGGGTACCACTTAACGAGAACCACCGAATCTCGATGTCGGGGGTGAACGGCGGGTCGGACCAATCCATGGGCGTATGTGAGTATGTGGTCATCGAGTTCGGGCCAGTCAAGACAAAATCACATTTCCATGTGTTCAAGGTGGCGCCATTTGCTGCAATACTTGGTCAGCCTTTCATTGGGGACCATGTCATAGCAACAACAGATGATGGAGATACTTACCGGGTGATGTTGCGCGATTTCCATGACCTCAATTGCAAGGTCTCGATCGCTCTTCACTCTAATCCTCGTCCAAAGCCACTGGACATATCGGTTTCAACCAACGTGGTCATGGCCGATAGGGTAAGCGCGATGATTCGTCCCATTAGCGCCCAAGACTGGGAAGCGGTCGCGAATGGTCGGATCGAGGAGATCGACATGACAGACGAGGATTGGGAAAATGTTAAGGGCGGCTCGTCTTTTCATTGGCGGCTCCCTACCCTTCGAGCATAAGCCCAAACCCCAAGGACCCAGGAGGGAGTAGGGGAGGAGCGTGCATGCTAGCGATAGGGCACGAGTTTGAGTGGGGGGGAGAAGCCCCCGATGACGGTAGAGCCGCGCGGATGAACATGGTGGCAACGCGAAGTGCAGCAGAGGAACTGCAGAGGTCGAAAAAGTGGCTGATGATACAGAAGAATGAGCGGGGACAAGCGATAGCGGCCAAATACAAGACGGTCGACCGCAAGATCAACCCAGCACCAGGAGTAACCCCTGAAAATGCAAAAACACTGAGAAAATTCCCTGAAAACCCACTCGACAGCTTACCGGATATACCCTTAATACCACCACCGTTCCGGGACGGCCAACGAGTGACCAAAAATAGGCTTGAAGAATTGCGCTTGAATACGACTGGTTTCCTTACGGCTGAAGAGCTCCGGATATTCGAATATATTTTATTGGCCAATGAGAATGCGATTGCTTTCGACGAATCAGAAAAAGGACAGTTTCGCGAGGATTATTTCTCACCGTATATAATTCCGACAATGCCACATACGCCATGGGCCGAGTCGATGATACCTATACCCCCAAGCATACGGGACCAAGTTAACGAGCTACTCAGGGAAAAGATAAAGAATGGTACGTACGAGAGAACCGAGAGCACATCGTATCGCTCGAGGTGGTTCACCGTCAAGAAAAAGAACGGTAAGATCCGCATCGTACATAACCTCGAACCCCTAAACGCAGTAGCAATAAAAGACATAGGACTTCCGCCAGATCTGGACGAGTTTGCCGAAGGCTTTGCCGGGCGCTCGATCTATTCTGCATTTGATGTATTTTCAGGTTTCGATAACCGCAAGTTGGCTGTAGAGAGTCGCGACCTAACAACCTTTGAGACTCGAGCATTTGGGACTCTTCGGTTGACGGTGCTGCCTCAAGGCTACAGCAACTCCCCAAGTGAGTTCCAGCGGTGCATGCTGTTCCTCTTGCAAGACGAAATCCCCGACATCGCCAACGTCTTCATCGACGACCTCGGAGTGAAAGGACCACCAACTCGATACGAGCGAGAAGACGGGACATTCGAAACTGTCCCCGGGCATCCAAACATACGCCGATTTGTATGGGAGCATGCTCTAGATGTCAATCGGGTGCTCCATCGAGTGGGACATGCAGGCGCTACCGTCTCTGGGAATAAGATCCAGTTAGCACGAGAAGAAATGGTGATGGTAGGACAGAGGTGTACTTACGAAGGAAGGGTCCCGGATACCGAAAAAGTGGCAAAGATACTGCGCTGGCCAGTTCCTCGTAACGCAACGGAGCTCCGCGGTTTCTTGGGCACTTGTGCGGTTGTCCGGATCTGGATTAAGGACTACTCCAAGATCGCGAAACCCCTCAGTCGGCTGACGGCCAAGGATGCTGACTGGGAGTGGGGCGACGAGGAACAAGACGCAATGGACCAACTCAAAGAGCTGGTAACACATGCCCCATGCATAACACCTATCGACTATCGATGTGGGCGAACAATCATATTGGCAGTCGACTCTTCGAAGATAGCGGTTGGCTTCATCCTATACCAACTTGATCAGAACAACCGCAAGCGGCCAGCAAGATTTGGGTCGCTCACCTTCAACGACCGCGAGAGCCGATACTCACAGCCGAAGCTGGAACTCTATGGAATCTTTCGTGCACTGAAGAAATGGCGGCACCTGTTGATAGGGGTCAAAAATTTCGTGTTAGAGACAGACGCGCGATACATCAAAGGAATGCTCAACGCACCCGATGAGGTCCCAAATACCACACTCAATCGCTGGATTGAGTTCATTCTGCTCTTCACGTTCACCCTAAAACATGTGCCAGCAAAGGACTTTGGTGCGGTCGATGGCCTCTCAAGAAGGCGCAAGGCGGACGATAGCGATGACGACAAAGACGACGACTCCGACAGAGAGGTCGAAGAGGAGCGGCCGCGGCTGGTGGCAACGCTAGCCTTAGCCGGGCGAAAAGAGAAAGTGATCGAACGGCCACTGGGAGGCGAGCGGGTGGCCAGGAGGTTTCGAGCGGTTCCGTTAGCGGGCGAGTTCGATGATCTCGAGGATAGCGAGGATGTGGACGAAAGGCGAGAGATGATAGGATTAGAGGAAGGAAGGACATATGAAGACAAAGAAAAGGCTGAGAAAAGAAACAAAACAAAAGGCAGAAGAAGTTTGGGAGAGTGGAATACAGACGAAGAATTAGAAAAAGTTAAAGGATTCTTGGAGACGTTGGAGAGGCCAGAAGGATTGGATGAGAGGGAGATGAAGTCATTTCTGAAATATGCGCGACAATTCTTCATTGGAGAAGACGGAGATATGTACAGACGGGCGAAGAGCGGGGACATGCATCTGAAAGTTGTCTGGAGGAAAAAGAGAGCGGAAGTGTTACGAGGAGTGCACGAAGAGATGGGTCATAGAGGGCTGTTCGCTACGCGTCGGCACTTGATTGACCGTTATTGGTGGCCAGAAGTCTATGCGGATGTCGAGATTTGGGTACGAGGCTGCACAAAATGCCAAAAATTCAGCGATCGCAAGATAACTCTTCCAGTTCGGCCAAGCTCACCTGTTCAGCTGTTCCGGAAGTTCTACGTCGACGTGATGTACATGCCTCCTTCCAATGGATACAAGTATGTCGTATTGGCGCGGGACGAAGCTACCACATACGCTGAAGGCCGGATGCTTCGTGCCATCAATGCCCCCGCTCTTGCTCAATTCCTAATGGAAGAGATCATCACACGGTGGGGAGCCATTAAGGAGATCACGACAGACAATGGCCCAGAGTTTGGAGCGGCGGTGAAGGAGTTGCTGCGGCGATATACTGTATGGCACATTACTATATCACCATACAACTCCCGAGCCCAAGGACTGGTCGAGAAAGGCCACCATCCATTCCGACGAACGCTGTTGAAGTCCTGTGGTCAGCCTTCCCGCTGGTCACGGTACTTCCATCACGCGCTTTGGGTAGATCGCGCGACGGTGAGAAAAGCGACGGGGTACTCACCCTTTTATCTCGCACACGGGTACCACCCGCTACTCCCGATCGATGCGTTCCAGCTCACTTTCGCCTGGAATTCACGGCCAATGACGACGGAAGAGCTAACGGAGGAAAGGATCAAGTTGTTAGCGGAAAGAGAGGAGGCAGAAGAGGAGGCGTTGGAGAGAATCAGGAAGTCACGATGGGGGTACAAGGAGAGGTTCGAGAGGGAGCACGCACGTACCTTATTCAAAGGAGAGTTGAAGCCGGGACAACTCGTCTTGGTTCGAAACTCAGCAGTGGAGAAGGAGCTAAACAGAAAACATAAACCAAGATGGTTAGGGCCGTATGTCGTGGTGAGGAAGACGAAAGGAGGGTCATACGTACTGGCGCAGGAGGATGGAGCGGTACTACAGACACGATTCGCAGCATTTCGCGTCGTCCCATATCACCAGCGGGACGGCCTATCATTCGAAATCGGCGAGTTCGTGGACAAGGAGAGATTGGAAGCTAAAGAGGACGAGGAAGACGAGGGAGACGAGGAGAGTTTAGACGAATTACGACGAGTTGCGCGGAGAAGAATGAGAAGAAAAGAAAAAGGAGAAAAAGAAAAAGAAAAAGAAAGTAGCGAAGAAGGAGAGAAAGAAAACGGAGAAAGCGATAGTATGGAGGG